GACGCTTAACGGACTGAGCCACCCAGGCGCCCCGCTCGGCATCACCTATTTAACACACAGATCCACCCACCTCCCTCTGGTAACCATCAATTTGTTCTCTATAGTTAAGAGTCTTTTTTGTGGTTTGCCTCTGTCTCTTTTTTCCCCTTTTGCTCATTTGTTTTGTTTCTTAAATTCCATATGAGTGGACTTATATGGTGTTTGTCTTTCTCTGACTTACTTTGCTTAGCATAATACTTTCTAGCTTCATCCATGTCGTTGCAAATGGCAAGATGCCATTCTTTTTTATGGCTGAGTAATATTCCATTGTATGGAATACATCTCTTTATCCATTCATCAATCCATGGACAGTTGGGCTGTTTCCATAATTTTGCTACTGTAGATAATGCTACTGTAAACATTGGTGTACATGTATCCAAAAGACTCATTTTAAGGAAAGGAAATGAAGGGTTCCCCTACCAAGTCAAGTTCATTGAATGCAACGTTTCTTATTATTTTGTCTAATAAATTCTTGTTTTCTGAGCTATTATTAGAATTTCTGATTGTCCTTTCATCATGCTTAAGGATTTCTGAAAATTGAAGTCTTGCTTGGATATAGACAAAATTCTCTAATATTTCATGTATTAATTACATGATTTGCTGAGAGCATCTATTTTATACTGTAGAAAACGAGAATACCTAGTAAATGAGAAACAAGAATCTTAGACAAGCTCCTATGAAGGTCTTCACATTGTATTGCAGATAGGTAAGCTTGGCAACAAGCACACATCTAAAGATACTGTGTTGACGTCTAAAGGTGCATTTCCAATATCAATTTAAGTTTATTGCTTATATTGCTTTTTTTAAATTACATTTCTTTCTAATTTTGGATCTTTTCTGACACTTAGGGCCATAGTGCAGAACACAGATTTTTTAATTCACTTATTTATTTGACAAGATGCTTATAGCACCTCTGTTACTAGGCACTGCTTTGAGTGTTTTATAAACTTAAGTTACATAATTCTCACAATAATCCTATGAAGTTAGTAGTGGTAGTATCCTCATTTTGTAGAATTGGAAGCTGGAAGCAACAAGGATATTCAGTAACTTGCCTATGGTCACACACCTAGTTAGTAGTTACAATCAGGATTTAAACTCAGGTTGTCTGGCTCTAGAGGCTGCACAGATATACTTGCTGCCTCCCCTGACCCTTTTCTTTTTGTCATCTCAAGCCATTTTATTCTATTTCTATGACTTGATTATTTTAATCTCTACAGAAATAAATACACCTTCAGCATTCATTCCATTTGTAATCCTATGAAAAGCAGACAATACAATTGGATCTTGTCTTCTAACCTCCAGAAAAAAGTCAGTTAAAGGAAGGCTACAGATTTTAAAAAGGCATCAAATTCTCCTTTGTCTTCTGATAACAGAGGTGCTGTGTGGAGAACAACCATATACACTATAATCGTGAATTTATTTCAACTTAAGCTATGTTGTTACTGTGAATACCTTCACAGGCAATTCTTGCCATTCCAAATGCTAAGTTCTAGAAATCATTTTGAGGGAATAAAGGCCTCATAGCACTGTAACAACCAATTATGTTTTTTTTTTTTTTATTGTTGTCTAACAACCAAAATATATAGGAAAAAGGCCTTAAAACAGTTTTTAAATTTTTTAAGTTTATTCATTTATTTTGAGAAAGGGAGCATGAGCAGGAAGAGGGGCAGAGAGAGGGAGAGAGAGAGAATCCCAAGTGGGCTCCATGCTGTCAGTGTGGAGCCCTACACAGGGCTGATTTCATGAACTATGAAATCATGACCTGAGCTGAAATAAAGAGTTGGACACTTAAGGGTGTCTGGTGGATCAGTCTGTTGAGCATCCAACTTTGGCTCAGGTCATGATCTCATGGCTTGTGAGTTCAAGCCCCGCTTTGGGCTCTGTGCCAACAGCTCAGTCTGGAGCCTGCTTCAGATTCTCTGTGTCCGACTCTCTCTGTCCTTCACTGCTTGCGCTCTGTCTCTGTCTCTTTATGAAAAACAAACAAAAAAGAGTTGGACCCTTAACTGACTGAACCACCCAGGTGCCCCAAAAAAGATTTTTAAAAGAAAAACAAACTTTTTATCTCTGTAGCAATTGTGGTTGAGGGCTACATTGCCTATATTCTCAGTGGATTCGTTAAAAATGAACCATTTTGTGTAATTATACTGTATAAAAAAAAACTGAAGCAGAAAATGCCATGTATCCAGTGTGTGCTTGGTTAATGTTGGTTAATGTTACCAAAGATGTCCTGACAGTACTTAATCTCTTTTCTTGGATTCCTTTTATCTAAAAGGCAAATGCTAGTATTTGGAGTTTGACTGGGGTCCATTCATTACAGTTCTCATGAGCTGCTCTGGAACTGACCAAAGACACTGAATTGAATGGCTGTAAGCATGCAAAACTTGTGTTTAGGGCTCTCAAATGCAGCTTTAAAAAAAGTAATTTAATTTCTTCTTTCTTGTGAACAGATTGAAGACCAACTTCCCATATACCGATCACTGCACAAATCCAGGCTATTTGTTAAGTCCAGTTACAGTACAAAGAAACATATGTGGAGAAAATGCTAGCGTGAAGGTCTCCATTGAAATTGAAGGATTTCAACTACCAGTTACTTTTACATGTGATGGTACGTTTGTAGTTCCCCAGCTATCTTGTTAAGCTTTGATTAGGCGGAAAATGTTTAAAATGTTAGTTTGAATTATTCTTGACCTTGTTATCATTAGATACACTTTAAAAGAATTTTGTGTGTGTGTGTGGTAAAATAGTTAATATTCATTAGTTATCCTTTTAAAAAAATTGGCATACGTTTGCATAGTTTTCTGGTTAAGACTAGTGGGAAAACAGTTTACCTTTATTACTTCTATTACTGCATATTTCTCTGAAAAATGCTGAGTAACTTTGGTTAATTGGTGGCTGGTGGCCAAGGTCCCAAAGCATGAGATTGAAAGGCTAATTATAGTCCAGTTCTTTTTTTTTTTTTCTTTCCATTTTATGGCAAGAAGAATACTTGTTTATAAAGAACTGTCAGTGAAATTGAAATTCCAGTTATCTTGTTAAGCTCCTCTAAGGAGAAGATAATTGTCCTTTGGTTCTAACTCTCTCTTCCAGATTTGATGTGGATATCCTTTCTAGAAATGTATCCTAAAGTCTGTAGGAACTTTTCTGTCATAATTTACTGCTTCTCATGATGTATATTGCTTTACTGGAATTCCAATGGTAGAATAAGGTCCTATATTTCTGTAGCACTTTGACTTACAAATGATGCCATTTTTTTCTATAATGGTTATGATTAGGAATATGTCCAATATTTGGATACTTTTCTTTGTAGCTTTGTACTTTTCAAGCCCCTTTGAAAAAATAGAAATCTGAAACAAAAATGTTAGCCAACTATAATAATCATTCTTTTAGTTTCTAAAGGAAGAGTTATTCTTATAAAACATACTTTAAATTTTGGTTTGGGGAATTGTTTAAATCCATATGCTATAAGAATTAATATGAAAATAGAAGGAAAAAAAGGTCAGTAAGCCCCTTGATTGAATAATAAGTATTGATAGCAAATGTTTTAATTTGTATCACATTTTGACTTGATGTCTCAAGATATGATTACACTTTGAGAAAATGTCTGAAATGCCTGTAGTTTGGTTCTTTGTAAATGTGCACATTTATAATATAAATCTCTGTTAAAAAACTTAACCATATTATAGTAGAGGTGTGTCCAAATAATAAATGTTACTGTACATTTGACTGTTCAGAAATGTAGTCATTATTAGATATTTTATGGCTTTTTCTGCCAAGCTGTTGATTTTCGTGAAGTTTGAATTTAATAACTGTCTTCTAAATTGAACATAAGAGATCTAAGTATAGAAATGGGTTACTTTATTATTTTTTTAATGTTTATTTATTTAGGGAGAGCCGGGGAGGAACAGAGAGGGTGGGGGGAAGAGAGAAACCCAAGCTGAAAGTACAGAGCTTGATGCGGGTCTTGATCTCATAAACTGTGAGATCATGACTAGCTGAAATCAAGAGTCAGACACATAACCAACTGAGCCACCCAGATGCCCAGAAATAGGTTACTTTAAAAGGTTACTTTAATTTTTTAATGTGTTATAATCTTAGTAAATAGCTCTTGTCAAGAACGATAATTGAAGAATACTTCCTACTTGCTGTATTTTTATTTTACATTAGAAAATTTACCAGCAAATATCAAACATTTAAAATGGTGATTTTTTTTTTCTTATGATTTGGTTTAAATCATTGTTTGCTAGATACTGCTAAATGTCATCCTTTTTGGAGGAGTCTGTAATAGGGAGGTGGCTTTCTTAGTTTTAGATCTGCCCTAATCAAATACAGTAACCCCTAGCCCCATGTGGCTATTGAGCACTTGAAATATGGCTAATATAGAGTGAGATATGCTAGAAGTATAAAATACATGGTGAATTTCAAAGAACCAATTTGAAAAGAAATAAGATGTCTCAGTAATTTTTAAATACTGGTTTTATGTTGAAATGATATTTTGGATTTATTAGGTTAAATAAAACATGTTGGAATTAGCTTCACCTGTTTCTTTTTACTTTTTTCAACGTGGCTAGTAGAAAATTTTAAATTCTATATGTGATCTACATTATATTTCTATTGTATAGTGCTCTCTTAGATGATAAATACATTCTGAATAAGTGTATAGAGTTAAACGAGCAAAATGAAAATGATGCCTCTTTTACAGTGAGTTCTACTGTAGAAATCATTATAATGCAAGCCCTTTGCTGGGTACATGATGACTTGAATCAAGTAGATATTGGCAGCTACGTTCTGAAAGTTTGTGGTCAAGAGGAAGTGCTACAAAAGTAAGTTTACTTACTTAACTACTGAACAACATCTTTGGAAATTTCATTTTTAAGGGGTTTAAATTAGAAAAATTTCAAGTTAAATTTGTAGTCCAAAAATATGTTGGGTCCTACTGAATTGATTGGATTCATGAACTTAAATTGAGATATACTTTGTTTTAAGATGTGTATGTATCTAAGACCGTGGAGGGATTTCAGAGACAATTAAGACATGGTATTGCCCTTAAACTTATAATCTTAAATGGGAAAAAAAGGTAATTCATTGATAAGTGAATTTAATAGTTTTTTTTACTTTCTGCTAAGAGTCAATAGTCACGTATTTTTTCCTTCTGTAGCATGGGCCATTACTTTTCACACAGTGGTCAGCTGTGACTTCCTTTTAGTTGCCTTGAAATAGTCATTGTATGAATCTTTTTCTGAACCAGGTAATTTAGCATATACAGTTTAGTTATTTTACAGATTTAATTACTTTCAGCTACTAAAAATGCCCTGTTCCTATTTCTCTTATTTTCTTTTTTACCTTCATCTTTCTTCTTTATTGTGACTCTGTCCATGTAGAATTATTCTTTTATTTAAATGCTCACACTTGGTTAAAAAACTATCTCTACATTTTACCATTCTCTTCAATTTCTGATGCAGATACAAGTTATATTTTACTCTCACCTCTGTAATTTCTAGTTTGAGAATAACATTGATGAATAATTAATCTATTTTAATAGTAATCATTGCCTTGGAAGTCATGAACATATTCAGAACTGCCGGAAATGGGACACAGAGATTAAACTACAACTTTTGACCTTCAGTGCAATGTGCCAAAATCTGGCCCGAACAGTAAGTATGTACCTTATAACTGAATTGCATTTGGTTGACTCTGAGTAATTCTGCTAATTAGCCAATTTGCAATTTGTACATTCTCCAAGATTTCTGGGTTGGACTGGTGAATGGATTGGAATGATGAACTAATTTTATCCACAACAAGGGTTTTCAACAAATGGGGGTAGCTTTTCAATCATGGAGTCTTAGGTAGCCTACTACTCCAAGCTGGAGGCATATTTGAAAATCAAAGTGGAGGAAATAAAAGTTGACTTGTAATGATTTTACACAAGAATGAAAACATTAGGGTCAAATGGAAATGAGGAAGGAGGAAAGATTTTGAATACTAACTGTGGTTTGAAGGAAGAAAAATACATTATTTTTCACCAAATGAAAACTGCTTCTCTTTTTAAAATGCAGTACTTTCTTTTGAAGTTAAAGCAAAAACATTTGATGAATTTTAATCTTTAAAGAGAATTAGTCTTCATTTGGTAGAACTTTGGATAGAAAAATAGCAGTCATTTCTAGTTTTTGTTTATTTTCTTAGGTTTTTCTCCTGTGTTTGATGTTTTTCAACCAAGTGAAATAAATTGTTTCACAAAATTCAGTACATTTTAGCAATCATTAGTAACTTCTCTTTTCAGTTTCTTAAGGAATAATGTTCTTGAGAATATTTGCATAGTAAAGACTTATGGTAGAAGAGACCAGTACCTTATTTATTGGGGGTAAGTTGGGGGGAAATTTGATTATCATTAGAAAACATAATGCAGAAATTCAGATGATCTCTTCCCCATCTGATTCTACCCCACCTTCATTTGGCTGTCATATATCTTTAAAAGTGTTTTGTTTTGTTTTAAACCTCTCTATTCTTTCTGTGTAGAACAGAAGTAGTTTTTACTTTGGGAGCTGCCTATAGATAAAAACTAGACTAAAAAGCATTTATGTTTTTTTATTTATAAAACAAATTTTTCAGAATATTGATGTACTTGTTTCCCTGATTGGTTATAAATAGTATTTAATTCTGAAAATATTTTAACCTGTTCTGAAAAATCACTGCAGTTTCAAGAATTTGTCTTACACTTAACCATGTTTAATTTGGTAATAGAAAGCCCAAAGAAGAGCACCTGGGTGGCTCAGTAGGTTAAGTGTCTGCCTTCAGTTCAGGTCATGATCTCACGGTTTGTTAGTTTGAGCTCCACATTGGACTGTCTGCTGTCCACACAGAGCTCCCTTCATTCAGATCCTCTGACCCCCAATCTCTCTCTGTCCCTCTTCTGTTTGTACACTCTCTCTTTCTCTCTCAAAAACAAATGAATAAAAACTAAAAAGAAACCAAAAAACCAAAAAACAAACCCAAAGAACGGATTTTATTTTTTTGGTAAACATATGTGTATATGTGTTTTTTTAGGCAGAAGATGATAAAACACCGGTGGATTTAAACAAACATCTGCATCAAATAGAAAAACCTTATAAGGAGATCATGACAAGGTGTGGCATCTAAAGCATTAATTCCAGGTTTTCAAACTTTGCTTTTGGATGTGAATACCATTATTTTGGTGAATAAAACAATCATTTCTGTATATAGAATCCTTCAGCCACAGTAACTGTTCTTTATTTCAGATACCCTGTTGACGAACTTTTAGATTCTTACCACCACCAAGTGGACCTGGCTCTGCAAACTGAAGTAAGTCTTAATACACCTTTTGGCATGATGACTTAAGGATTCTTGTCTCTGTTCTATCTTAAATATTAGTGTGGTATTGTATGAAATATTTTAGAAGGACGATTTAAACAATATTCTTGATGTTGATGTTTGATGACTTGTTTTCTGACCCAACTTGTTAACAGAAATTTTCAATATTGCTTGAGTCAGCACTTCACCTCACTTCAGCTTTATTACTAAGAGGAACCTTCAGTTCAATTTAAAAAAGAAGTGAATGTGTACTATATTCTAGATGCTGGAGTTACGAAAATGGATGACCTAGTCCCCACCTACCAGGAACTTAAAACTAGTGATGGATTTAAACAAAATTTCAGTGTAGCATAGAGGTATGCATTGGATTCTTTGGGAGATCAGAGAAGGGCACTTCTTCCAACTTGAGACTTCCAAGGAAAGCCTCTAAGAAGGGAGGTTGCCTGGTTCAAGTCAACAGTATGGGTTAGCTAGAAGAAGATGGTTGGGAAGGACATGTGAATAAAAGCACATAGGTGTGATACATATGTGGAAGTAGAAGCACTTCTGTAACAGGGTAGAGTATGAAGTGAAGGTTGGGAGATGATGTTGGGGATACCTGGACATAAGTTACCACCTTATTCATGTTAAGGAGTTTTACTCTATCCTCTAGCTTAGAGGTCCATATCCAGTCTACTTTCTGTTGTAAATAAAAAATTTTTGGAACACAGCCACACCCATTTGTTTATATATTTTCTATAACTGCATTTGTGTTCTAATACTAGAGGTGAGTAATTGAGACACATACTATATATCCTGCAAAGCCTAAACTATTTATTAATTGCTATTTTACAGAAAAGGTTTACTGACCCCTGCTCTAGCCCTTTTTAGCTGAGGGTAAGGGGTGGGATGGGTTGAGTGACTTGTTTCTGAGTCCTGAGCTGAAATTACTCTGGCCGTACTGTGGAAATTAGATTTACTTCTGGCGGGATTGGTTTTAGGGAGATTATTTAGGAAAGTTTTTTATAGTAGTCCAAGTGAAAGATAATTAGTGTGATAAAGGCAAAAGGAGGGAACTGATTAACAATACTTAGGAGATAAAATTGGTAAGATTTTGGCAGGTAATGAGATGTAAGAAAAGAAATAGTGTAGGATGACTCTCAGATTTCCAGCTACTATTATATTCTTGTCAGCATATAAACATATTTATTCAGTAAATATTTGCAGAATATCTCCTCATCATGAGGCACTGTTGTAGGTGCTAAGGCTATGGTAGTGAACAAAAGAAACTGTAATCCCAAGTCTTAGTTTACACTCTAGTTGCATGAGATGACAATTAAACTAACAAAATATATGCTACATCAGGTGGTAAGCACTATAGAGAAAAATAAATGAGGGTAATGTTGCAATTTCAACATTTGTATTCAGAAGAGACCTCATTAGGAAGGTAAATTTGAGTAAAGAACTGGAGGAGAGGAGGAAGCTATCTGGTTGTCTAGGGGAGGAGGAGTGTGCCTGATATATCTGTCTTTCTAGCTGGAATAGAGTGAGGGAGGGGGGCAAGAATGGAAACAAATCAATTAGGAAGATGTTTTGCTAGCCATAGATAGTGGGAAGGGGGAGGAAGGGGCGGGAGAGGAAGAAACTGTGAGAGGAGCAGATTTGGATGGAAGATGTAGAACTTAATTTTGGACTTTGTGATGACTGTTAGTCACCTTAATAACAATGTTGAGTAGGCAGTTGGATATAAATCTGGATTTTAATGGAAGAGGCCCAGCCTGGAGGTAGTAAACATGGGAATCATAAGAATATAATTGGTATTTTGAAGCCATAAGGAGATCCCCAAGAAAATTACTGCAGGTACAGAAAATAAGAGTTTAAGGACAGCCCTGGGCATATCTTCCATCTTAAAACAAAAAGTCCACATCCCCCTGTAGCAACCACTCCACTTCTCTTTTCTTCTTGCAGCAAAACTCCTTAAAGTTAATCTATTTTTACTGCTTCCACTTCCTCTCTTTCCATTCTTTTATGAACCCACTCCAATCAGGCTTTCATTCTCAGCACTTCCCTGAAACTGCACCTAAGATCAGGACTCCATGATCATGGTTTCAGTAATAAGTTCTTGGTCTTTATTTTTCTCAGTGTTTCTATAGTGTTTAATTAATAGAGGTGGCTGTTTCTTCCTCTTGAATACTCTCATGACCTCTTGGTGTATCATGTTTGTGGTTCTCTGACTTCCAGTGTCTTGCTCTGTTCTCTCACTTGTGGCTTTCTGCTTATGGTGTCTTTATTTTTCTGTCCTCTAAACATAAGAATACCATAGGGCTCAGTTCTAGGATCTCTTCTTTTCCCTTGTGGTCACATTCCAGGTGATCTCGCTTAATCTCATGTCTTTAAATACCCTACATATACTGATGGATGAAATTTATACATTCAGGCTAACCTCTTCCCTGAACTCCAGATTCAAATATATTTTACCTGACATTTTTATATGAATGTCTAATTCATTAACATCTCAAATTTAAGATACATGAAACTGAATTTTTTATATTACCCTTCATATCTATTTATGAGTCTTCCTCTTTTTGGTAAATAACAACTCTATCCTTCTCTTTGCTAAGGGGCAAACCTTGAAGTCGTATTTGATTTCTCAAGAAAAAGATCTTTTATATCCCACAATCTATCTAATTCTTGTCAGCTCTATTTTAAAAACACATTCAGAATGTGACCACTCTATCACTACCAAAGCTACAGTTCTAGTCAATTACAATAGTTACGACACAGTTGACCCTTGAACAACATGGGGGTTAGGGGCTCTGACCTCCTGTGCAGTCGAAAATCTGTATATAACATCTGTCTATCTTTAAGTAAGCTCTAGGCCCAACATTGGGCTTGAACCCACAATCTTGAGATCAAGAGTCATATCTTCTGCCGACTGAGCTAGCCAGGTACCCACTGTTTATATAACTTCTGGCTCCCCCAAAATTTAACTGCTGATAGCCTACCCTTGGCTGGAAGCCTTGCTGATAACATACATAGTTTATTAATACATATTTTGTATGTTGTTTTTATTGTATGTATACTTTTATTGTATGTATACTTTATTCTTGTACTAAAGTGAGCTAGCGAAAAAGAAATGTTAAAGAGCGCCTGGGTGGCTTAGTCAGTAGGGCATCCTGACTTCGGCCCATGCCATGATCTCACGGTTCGGGAGTTCAAGCCCGCATCGGGCTCTGTGCTGACAGCTCAGAGCCTGGAGCCTGCTTTGGATTCTCTGTCTCCCTCTTTCTCTGCCCTTCCTTTGCTCATGCTCTGTCTCTCTCAAAAATAAATATTAAAAAAAAAATTTTTTTTAATAAAAGTTAAAATCATAAGGAGGAGAAAATACATTTATAGCACTTGTGCTGTGAAAAATTCACGTATAAATGGACCCAAGCAGTTCAATCCTGTGTTGTTCTCAGGTCAACTGTAGTTCCTTACAGCTCTCTCAGCTTCTACCCTTGTCCTTCTACAGTCTTTCTTCCACAGGGAATCAAAATGATATTTTAAAAATAAGTCACTAAGTACAATATGGCATCCTGGATTGTATCCTGGAAGAGGAAATGAATATTAATGGAAAAACTGGTTCAGTCTGACTAAAGTACAGTTCAGTTAATAGTAATGTACCAGTGTTAATGTCTTAGTTTTGTCAAATATAACATGGTTACGTTACTTAACCCAGTTTCCTTTAATGTTCTTAAAGGAACTTTCTAACTATCTTAGAGGAACGATCTGTACTGTTTTTGCAACTTTTCTGTAAATGTAAAATTATTACAAAACAAAAAGGTTTTTTAAGAAAAATAATAAGCACAGATAGCATATGTAAAAGAGAAAAAGACAAAAGATGGCTCTTTGAAAAGATTAATAAAATTTATAAACTCTTAAAAGATGCTAAATTATGTTATCCCCTTTTTCAAAATCCTCTTTACCATCTCAGTAAAATTCAGATCCCTAATTGTGTCTTCAGGGCCCTATGTATTCTGACCCCACCACCTCTCTGATCTGGCTTCCTAACACTTTCCTTCTTTGTTCTGGTGGATCTATAGGTATGCTCCCCAGCTGGGATCCTTGTGCTTTTTGTTCTCTTTACTTTTAATGCTCTTCCCCCAGATATTTGCATGGCTTAACCTTCAATTCGTTAAGGTCTGTATTCTAATAAATGTCTTATCGCAGATGTCTTTAGGACCATCTTATGCAAAATAATGACTAAAAAAAATAGTGACTGTCATATATTCCCCATAATTTTTTTACAGCTTTATTGTATAATTTATATACCATAAAGTGTACCCATTGAATATATATAATTCAAGGATTCCTTTTAATAAATGCATGGAGTTGTATAATTATCTCCACAATCCTGTTCTTTGGACCATTTTCGTCACTCCCAAAGGTTTCCATGTACTACTTTTCAGTCATTCCTCATTCCCAGCCCAACCCCCGAATAACACCTGATCTAGTACCTGTCTCGGTAGATTTCCCCTTAATGGAGATTTCATGTAAATGGAATCATACCCTATGTAATACCTGATTTTTTTTTTCCACATACCATACCGTTTTTAAGCTCTGTCCATGTTGTAGTATATAAGTTGTAATTCGAATCCATAGTTCCTTTTTTTATTGCTGAATACTTACATTGTATGGATATATCATATTTTGTTTATCTGGTCACCAAATAATGGACATTTTGGACAGTTTG